GTGCAATGCTGACGAACGTTACCCTGAAAGGCTGCTTCTATTCTATAAATATTCAGAACCTGACAATCCAGTGATTGATATCATGAGCATCGGTCCACGCAACTGAATTAATCAACCAAATCACGAATTCTGACAACGTTAACCCGACCGTTAACAACAACTAGCATAGGTTGCAATGGAACTATATTTCTATCCAGGAAATCCCACGAATCATCATGATATGATTATTACCAATGTTTATATGCTGTTGTTTTTAGATACAAACACGTCTGTTCGACACTGTGAGGCTCGGTGGGTTGAATATTGTTTCTCATTTAGTTTAGTTTTACGCGGCTTTTACCAATATTCCAGCAATATCACGACGGGGGACACCAGATATGGCTTCACACATTGTACCCAGGTGGGGAATCGAACCCGGGTCTTCGGCGTAACGAGCGAACGCTTTGACCACTAGGCTACTCCACCGCCCCTTCACATTTATGTACATACACAAGACACTGTATTGATGTTGGTGTTATTATTTTTAACAGATTAAGACGAAAATGCAGCAGAGAGGGGTAGGGTGATCCTGGCACAGTCAGGCTGGTAAGGCTCATCATCAGCTCAGATCTTGCGAACCCACCAAGAACGTTCCGGAGAATATGATTTTTTATGTTGTTATTATTATCATTTTTATTGGTATTATTGTTGTAAGTGTTTTTGTCGCCATGGTACAGCCGGACAATTGCTAAAAGGTAAAAAACACAACCTTGAGATAAACAGCTTAACACTTAACGGTAAAGAGTGCGGGCAGTCAGATGTTACATATTGTTATTCAGTTAGTTAACTAATTCATTTGGCGTCCCGATGTCTGTGGGTAAGTCATTGAACATCACACGGCAAGTAAAAGGCGAACCGTCAGCCATGACAAATAACAAACCGACGTTAATGGTCTGTCTATGTACGCGAGCGTTATTAGTAATAATTCGAATGTGCACTTAGCATGCTATCGTTATTGAATATCGGAAACGGGGTGGGGTTTGAGAGGGTGTTTGTGAAACGGGAACGGGAGGGGTGGGGGTAGGGAGGGGTCGTGGAGGGCTCGACTGAGCATGTATTGGGGCAATTTTCACATGGTGCATAACATAGATACAATATTCTAATTATTATAAAACAAAAAGAGATTGTACTTCAAAATTCATACAATATAATATTATTCTATGAGCTCCAATGTTAACGGCCCGTGAAGATCCGGGTTATAACTGGTCTTGATGCTTGTCGTAAGAGGCGACCAACAGTATCGGGTGGTCAGGCTCTCTGACTTGGTTGACACATGTCATCGTATCCCATATGCATAGATCGATGTTCATGGTGTTGATCACTGGATTGTCTGGTCCAGACTCGATTATTTGCAGACCGCCGCCATATAGCCAATATTGTTGATTGCGGCGTTAAACAACAGACAAACAAACATAGCAAACAAAACCCTTGTTTCTATAGTCATGAGCCAACGTATTAATGAAAATAATTATATTTTGTTGTGGCTATCTACACCGAAGGAGGTGTACAGCCATGTTTGAACTGAATCAACGAAGAAATGGTTATTCGGTGATATGATAATTTATTCCATGCGATGTCGTGGCTACGTAATTGACCTTAAACTAAAAATGTGGTAAGCTGGGCCCCGTCTGGCATATAGCAATATAGGCGCAAGGTGGCGCGCGCAAAGGGAGCCGGGAACCAGGTTAACAGTGTGGAGGTGACTGTTTTTCGGATTGGAGTGTTTACAAACGAATTGTTAATTTTCATAAGATTTTTGTCAAATGCAATTTTCAGTTGTATACTTTTTCCCAGTCATTTTATATCCACGGTAGTTTGTGTTTGTACAAACACATAGAGAGGGATGGCAGCAAAACATAGACAAACACTGTATGTTTTTATGTATTTATGTATATAGGTAAATGTTATGTATAGTGTCTAAATCGTCTTTATATTATGGGATAGTTTTATTTCGTTTTATCCATATAACTCATTTTATAAGTTTATGTTTTGTATACTGTTGTGATATTTATAATGATGCTTTTGTGATATGTTAATATTTCATAATAAATAGTTTCTCATAATTCACAAAGGGTGGCTTTTGTTACATCGTAATATATGACTCATAGGCGGATCCAGAAGGGGTGGGAGTGGAGGGTTTTTTTGCAGGGTGCGCACCCTTTCTTTGTCCTGAAAGTTTATTAAATGACCATTGAAACTCTCGTGAAAATGAAGTGTGCACATCCCCTGTCTCAAGAGTGTGCACACCCCACACCCCTCCCCTTTCTCAAAAAGATGTACCCGCTCCTGTTATGTTCTTATGTGTTTATGTAAAATTTTAATTATGTAATGTAGCAAGGTGAGACTTCTGTCTGGGACGAGATACTTTGAACAATCCGAAGTTCGACACAAGCCCAAAATTACGAAATTAAGAATACGCAGGGACCAAGCTCTTTCTTCGAGGCAATAGTGGGGCGGTGGGGCCCTAAGTGGTTAGTTGGCTTAAAGCCGTTCACTCGTCACGCCGAGCATGGGTAGTATGCCCAGTCCCCTGCCGTGATATTCTTGGAATGTTTCTAAAAGCCGTAAAAACCACTCAGGTTAAATCGTCAACTCGTCATGCCGAAGGCCCGGGTTCGATTCCCCACATGGGCACAATGTATGCCCATTTCTGGTGTCCCCGCCGTGATATTGCTGGAATATTGCTAAAAGCAGCGTAAAACCCAACTCACTCGAGACAATAGTAAGTTTAACAGTAAGTTAAATCATTGTTGTAATGGATTCCTATCGTAATCGTACAGCGTAGTATGTCCATGAATAAAGACTGATGTGTAAGTATATTTATATATTAATTCGTCGTGTTAAAAGTTTAGCCTATTCTTCACCATATAAATAATTCTGGATCTAGTGTGTGTTGTCAATAAAGCCTCGCTTCAGGTGTAAATGCGGAAAATCCCGGTCAGTGATATACCTGATATTACTGCATTAATAGATACCGTTATCAACAGCTGTTGAAGCCCAGCTGGTATCATATTTCCAAACACATGTCCATATATATGTATGTCTTTGTATGATTTGTAACTGTAGATCACACGAATAAATTTTATTACAAATAAATCGGTCTTAAAATTCAGACTCTTTTGGTATTATTCTATCTTTTAACTACATCCGATTTCGTGAGGTGAGGTGAGGTGAAGTGAAATTGGGTTTAACGTCGTGCTTGAGAATATTTCGCTCATATGACGACGTGCATGCGTGTGTATGTGTATGTGCGGCTGCTTGTATTAGCCCAGACTATATAGTGCTAGCCCACTGAGATACCATGCCGCAGTGAAGCATGAATACCCCACTCAGACACATTATACTGACTCCGAGCCGACCAGTCCTTGTTGTACCCATTAATGCCGAGCGCCAGACAGGGACCAACAAGTACCATATTTTAACGTCGGGGATCGAACCCGCGACCTTCCGCTCTCCGGGCGGACGCTCTAGCCACTACACCACGGATGCGGTCACATCCGATTTCGTAATATGATCACTTCATTTTTGTTATTAATTATCATTATCGTCATCGTCGTCAACATTATCCTCATCTTATTAATTTTGTCGTCGTCGTCATCATCATTATCATAAGCCAATATGTTCCGTGAAAAGGATGTTACATTTGGACAAATATATGAAAAAAGAGTTACGTAGAGTAGCTATTATTGTTTGTTTTAGTTTTGTGTGAAATAATACGCACGCACGCACGCACGCACGCACGCACACACACGCACTCTGTACTAGTATTGCTGGTCAATAATAAGTAACTGGTCCTCTTTCGACTCAGATAACCTGTGAAGATCCGGGTTAGAACTGGTCTTCAGCAACCCATGCATGCCGCAGTTTCGAAAGAGGCGACTAACGGGATCGGGTGGTCAAGCTCGCTGACTTGGTTGACACATGTCATCTTGTCCCTATTGCGTAGATCGATGCTTGTGATATCAACCACCGGATTGTCTGGTCCATTCTCGATTTACAGACCGCCGCCATATAACTAATATACCATTTGTTATTCTAAGTGCACACTCGGAATGAGGATACTTGCATCGTTTCCAAATGAGTACAATTTATTAACCTGACATCATGACATAAGTAAACGGACCCAAAGAAACAGCCGCAGTGTTCTATGAAGCGTGGCGCGAGGGTTTCATGCAGTGTTGATTAGACGCGGCACTTATCGCAAACTTATCAATGTGGAGCTTTAAGGACAGACTGGCATTTATATGGCAGAATCTACAACACGCACCTGCTCCTCTCAATCTCAGTGATGAAAGCGTGGCTTTAACGTGGATGTGCCTTGGAGGGTTTTGATCAGCTGAAAACTGAAAAAGAGATAATACGATATGCTTGTTTGTTTTTGTGAGTGTGGGGCCTGAATAGGAGCGTGGTTTGACCTTCATATTGATTAAGGAAGAACTCACAGACGTAACTCATGAATTGTCATGGATGTTTAATAAAATAATATATTTTGAGAAAACATTAAAAGATTACAGTATATATTTTACTGATACATTTTAGTTCTGAATTAGGAACAATAACATATAAAGAACTACTCATAGGACTGTTTTAATTAAATGGAATATATATATGTACGTGAAAACATTTTTTGACTTATTGTCAATGAAGTTTCATCCAAAGAAGTAAAATGGACGTAACTTAATAAACAGAGAGAGAGAGAGAGAGAGAGAGAGAGAGAGAGAGAGAGAGAGAGAGAGAGAGAGAGAGACATTTGTACGCAACTATGGAGAAGACCCTTGTCGATAGCTCCGCGTGTGATTATAGCTCACTCTTTGTACCACCCAAAGTAATAAATGCTAAAAGACGAAAAGAAGAGTGGTTGGGGTGAAAGCATAAACATTTCATAAGCATCAGCATCACAATATACCAAGTTATTGTCCAGTCCATTGTTTCGAATTTAATGCATCAATATTGGTCACGTGACCAATGATGGACGAGAGATCTTGTGGCGGAACAATAATGTGATACCATTTACGGGCTCCGTGCTTTCCTTGCCATGTGTTTTTGGCGTCGTGCAATAACTGTGCCATTCATTGAAGTCATTTAAGTAATCATGAAGAAGAAATGCAGTGATTTTCACTGTTGATCAAAAAAGATCCATTTCTTTGACAAGCTTATTGTTCCAAGATGGCGTCTCGAAACGTCAACCCGATTTCTGGGCTTGATCCTTCAGGCAAACTTCAGTCTAATACGTTAAAGGTAGGATAAAGAACGTCTTTCTTGTGTTTTGTTTTATGGAAATACACACACACGTGCATCATTTCAACAATTACACGTAGATTGTATACCGATTCTGGTCCTAGTAGAATCGAAGCAGTTGCTGGACCTGAGAGTGAGACGTGAGGTTGGAAGTTCGTCGTGTGATAAAAAATATAACAACACAGATTTTGATGAGACAGTGACTGACAGTGTTATAAAACGTTAAGAGTGCCCTTTATATTCTAATATGTGAAATATTATAACCATCAGTTGATGATACACGACCTTTCTTTCCATTTGTATGATGAGAATTGAGATTGGACATAGTGAAGCATGCATTGTTAACAGTTGCATGTAGATAACTTTTATCATGAACAGAAACTGAATGCATACAACTGATATTTGAACATATTTCGAAATAGAGTAACATTTATGATACTTCAACTTTTCAACACAGATTTCATGTGCTGATGGAAAAGATATGAAAGAATCACAACTGAATTACAAATTCTATATCCCAAGAATGGAAATTGTGAGGTTCCAAATTTATACAACTAGATATTTGAACAATAGATTTTCTCAGCTCTCACATTGTAGATGTATGTACTGCTCCACTTTTCCCTTTATAGCCACTGCTAACAAACAAGTTGGAGGATCCCCTCCTCCATAACCATTCTCATTGATTGCAGTAAAGAAAATAATTAAATAATAATTCAACATCTTCAATATCCTGCTTTTCGAAAATTTGGATGGAAGATTCTTTTATGTCAGAAGTGAACAAATCTCTGAACATTTTGGATGACAATATGTCATTGTCCTAGAAAATGAGCTAATATGAAACAGTACGGTCTACCAAAGTCATCTTGCAGGAGTCTTTTCAAATTTCATGAGAGTGCACATGATAACATGATATCATAGATTTTGTTCCCAAACTATTTGCCTGGGAATACAGCCATAAAAGTTACCATGGTATTCTTTAAACTGATAATAATTAAAATTCTGTCATGTCAGTGTAATTCTTTCATTCTGATTTGCTGAAATGGTCATTCATTGTTATTGCATTCATTTCCCATTGATTGTAAAAAACAAAGAGCCACGCCCAATAAAGTGGACTATTTTCACCACTGTAGATTGTCAGAGAATCCCATTTATAGTAGAGGGAGTTCCCTTTCTGTTTACTTGTTCATTCGTGCACAGAACATTTTAGCGATATTCATACATATTCTGGTTTGCTCGGAGGAATGACGCTGGCATGTTTTTTTTGTGGTACCATCATCCAGGTTGTAGGATAGCCAATGGTTAAAGCATTTTCACCAATAGGGAACAATGTGTTAAGCCCATTTCTGGTGTCTTCAGTCGGTTCCCAATTGTGTAGAACGATGCTCATGGTGTTGATCACTGGATTGTCTGGTCCAGACTCGATTATTTACAGACCGCCGCCATATAGCTGGAATATTGCTGAGTGCGGCATTAAACATTGTTAAAGAACAAACCAACCAACCAGTCTGGTTTCTTCTGCCAACACCTCACATTTGACAGTACCATGCCTTCTTTGATTGGGTGTATTATGTTAAATAAGGCATATTTATATGTAAAATTGTAATGCAGGCACTTGGTGACATATTCCCGTAGATCCAATATCGACACATTAGAATTATGAGCTGCCGTCGTTAGGGTAATCCTTTTAAGGGTCCCCATTACAGTAAAATACCTTTATAAAGAACTCCAAGGGACCACTGAAATTAGTTCGTTATATCCGTAGTTCGCTATTCACTTTTTTATATGATAATATAAGGTTTATTCGGGACTTTTAAAACAGTTCGCTATAGCCGTCAGTTCGTTATATCCATGTTCATTATAAAAGTATTCTACTGTATATCATTGACAATGAAAAGTCTAACCACTGATGTTTTTACGAGATTAGGTGTTAGTACTGTTACTTATAATTTGAAGTACCCCAGTGATGACAAAAATCATCATTCTTAGAGATGACTCTCTAACATTGTGCTTACATGCCTCTGGAAGAGAGCTCTATGTGCATCTTCAGCATATTAAGTTCAGTGTTCAAGTCTTTACTGACTCTTTACATTCACAGATTTGCCGAGACTATGATGTTTGGTTTGTGGACACTGTGTCCATGCTTATGGGTTTCGTCAAAGGAGTCAATTTCTAACACTTACTTTTAAACTTTAAAATTTCCCCAATATAGCTGACACTGGAATATCATTCAAGTGCTATTTTGAAGCACTGTTAGATCCAACATTCACATTCAACAAAGACAAAATCTACCCTTCAGATCTCCATATATTTTCAACACTTGGGCAAATTATTCTATAGCATTATCATATAAAGCAGCACATGTACCATATTTTACATGGTACCTCAATTGCCATCCAGTGCTGACTTGGTTGACATGTCATCGTATCCCAATTATGTAGATCGATGCTCATGCTGTTGATGATGGGATTGTCTTGTCTCTATTATAACAGACCACTGCCACACAGCTGGAACATTGCAGAATGCAGCATAAAACTAAACTCACTCACTCACACCAATGACCAATGGATAATTTGACACATCCTCAAAATGATGAATGTGCTTTTAAACGAGTAATTTTCTTGCTGTTATCAATGTCCTTTTTATGCTTAATGAAGTAAACCAGAACCCCGGCTGGTTTAGATAGCTTATCAAAATATGATTTTGAAAGCCATATCATATTGAAAGCCTATTCTATCAAAATCGATTAGCCATGGTTAACGTAATTTGAAACTTGACCTACTATAGTTATTATAACAGGATCTGTGGCAGTATGACATTCTCCAGTGATGCATTTCCACTGAATAAATAATCCCTGAATACATTGATGACAGTTAACAAGAACTGGGTCTCGTTCCACAAAGTGTTCGTAATGTTACAAGCTAAAGTTTATCATAAGCCTACAAATGGCATAGTATTACAAACGCTTTGTGGATAGAGTTCTTGAACTTTACGACATGTTTTTTATGAGATGTAGGCGCAAGCAGTAGCTCTTAAATATTATTACAAACAAGAAATAAGTTGTTATCCATTAAAGTTTCATGCCTGCATGTTCTTTTAACTTCTAAATGAAAAGATTTGATTCTTTATGTGCTCAAGAGTGTCAGCAGTGAAAGGGATACTGAATTTTAAGATTTGTAAGACTTTGACATCTGGCACCACCTGAAACGACTCTTCTTTCAGTTTCATCCTTACCCATATTCACAGTCTTGATGAAAATAAAGCTAGTAGAGTGAAAGGTTGGACAAAAGTAAATTGACTAAGTGCGTGTGTATAGTTTCTTGTAGTCGGTCATACCCTGAAACAAATACACCAAAGATAGTTCATGCAAGTCTAGAATATGTGTCATTAGTGGACTGAAGAAATTCTCTACAATCTTTTTATTATATTATATGAATATACTTTAGGAACCAATTTTTCTGTAATATGCTCATTTTGGAGACAAGATGTTTCCTAACGTTTCATGCCACTGTTAGCTATATTTCAGCAGTTGCTCAGTTGGATGAGTGAACATTTAAAACCACGAGGCTGTCCTACCGCCCCTGTGTCATTTACTTCTGCTTGCCCAGACTTGTTACTTGACATTATTTCTAGTAGGTTTTCAGTTATCAATAAATAATTATTTAGCCTTCAATACATGACATATATGCTCTTTATTTGGCTTTAGCTCAAAAGATCATTGATTTTGCTTGGAACAATTGATATTAGGACATTTTCATGATTTTTCGTTTTCAAGTTTTCACAGGATATGAAGTTCAATGTTCTGAATGTTTCATTTTTCCAAATTCTGAAATATGTTTATGAATTTTGGATGGCAAAAAGTCAGTATCCGTGAAAATGAACCAACTTGAAACCCAGCTTAACTGAAAGAATTTTGACTAGACCTGGCTGTGGTTCAGTGGCTAACCTCACTGTCAGTTCGTCAGCAACATTCCACAAGATCTTTTCACTATTATGATAGGCAAGTGGGTGGTTTGGATTAACAATGGTAATATAGGTGTTTTCATTCTCTTGTTTGCTGACCAAAATGATGCAAGAATTTCATACTCTACTTGACATTGTGTCTGTTCAAATCAAGAATGCATGAGTGAATGTTTGGGATATGCAGCATCAGCAGGTTTAGAGCTATTCGTGGTGAGCTTATTGGAAATTCAAGTGTAAAATTTATGAGACTTTGACAAAAGGGGGATGTGGTGTTAACCTGAAGAATATTACAGCGTGGCCATTATAAGTGAATCTTCTTCATGTACGGGCGTCTCACACCCAAACACCCTGCCTTGCATCTTGTGATTCTCTGTGAATCATTTTTGTTATTTCCTTACACAAGTGATAGATCGAAAATATGTCTCCATTCACACTGCAGTAAATGGGTACCTGGTAGGATAATATGATAATGTAACTGATTACCTTAAAGTGCTTCAAAGGCAGCTTGAGTTGTGTAATTAAAGCTGAGAATTAGAGTCACACAAATGTAAAGAAGGGTATAAATGTAGCACTTTGAATATAATTGAATTTGGTGCTTTATGAATGTGCACATATTTATTATAATTAAAAGCACTTCATGTGTTCTTTTCTTGTTTTGATGAAATGCTCTATAAACATGATACACATTGTCTTCCTCTGTTGACAATTAACGTATCTACCATATTCATTGTTTACGGTAAGTACAGTGCTCCAATAACCTCACCATGACCAAATTCTTGACAAATCTAGGTGATGGGTTAGCTTAGGGGCACTCCCGAGGGGCAGTGGCGTAGCCTTGTGGTTAAAACGTTTGCTCATCATGCCGAAGACCAGGGTTCGATTCCACCCAATGGGTACAATTTCTGAAGCCCATTTCTGATGTCCCTGCCATGATAATGCTGGAATATTGCTGAGAGCTGCCCAAAACAGTCACTCGTCATGCCAATGCCCTGGGTTTGATTCCCAAAATGGGTACTCTGTTGGAAGCCTATTTGTGATGTCCTCCCACCATGATATTGCTGTTAAAGTGGTGTAATGCCATCCTCACTCAGCAAACATTTGAGAAAATTGATCTAAATTAAGCAAATCTTAACTTACTTTGGCAATGTGTGTGTGTGTGAGCGAGTTCTGTTTTACTCCGCTTTTAGTTTTAGCTATATTCCAGCAATATCTCGGTGGAGGACACCAGAAATGGGCTTCACACATTGTACCCATGTGGGGAATCGAACCCAGGTCTTCAGAGTGACGAGTATTTGGCAATGAAGTTAATTATCAACATGGACAATATTTGTTGAAAGTGATGATCTCAGCCGAGATATGCGCTTTGTTAATCAGGATTTACTTTAGAACATATTTTCTGACCAACAGCAGTTGGCAGGAATGAAACATTTGCTGCATTCTCATTGATGTCAATAGTAAATAGTATTTAATACTTACTGCCCCTTTCCAGAGACAACCCAATCCGGACTGGAGTAAAAATGATTTGTTGCGGCTGTTGAGCTACTTTGAAGGGGAACTTCAAGCTCGAGATGTTACCATTGCAGCTCTAAGGGTAAGTAATTTTTAATATACTTCCAGAATTCTTCTTATGAAATGGGTCATCTGAATAAGTGGATTGTAGTGCTTTTGCAGCAAGTTCATTTTTGGTGACTGTGAGATAACAAAGGCAAGGATTAAGTAAATGATCATGATGTGTGAATAACCTGAAGTACTTGAGTAATGAGGTGGTTGGAATTAATTCATTAGTGTCTTGGACGTGTTAAGTGTACTTATTTGTACCCTTTGAGGACTCTTGGCTATATCCCCAACAACCTATGCTTGTTGAAAGGCTACCAAATATTGGGTGCCCATACTTGCTGAATTGTTTAATCTCATGTCATTGTATCCCAGTGACATGGTTCGTTGTTCACTCTATCAGTCACTGGATTGTCTGGTAGACACTTAGTTATTTACAGGCTGCCATCATGTAGCGGGATATTTGCTGAATGCAGCATTATTAACAAATATAGTTGTGATGACTTTTTTCAGGCAGGTTTTCATTAGGTTTTTGAATTAGAGAGTATTTACACAGCGCTCAGTCACACTTTCGGTTTTTGTGTCTCACATCATGCTGATATTCTGGAACATGTTTTTAATATGCATTATCTACGAGGGTGAACATATCGGGGTTCATATTTTTCATATGATGCCCTAGGGCAAAATATCACTTTGTCATGGTGACGTGACGTCATGAACAAGGCTATGACGTCACGTTTCTTTCTGTGACGTTGCGTTCTACATTCAGCGACGGCGGGGAGCCAGCCTATGTTTGAAAGTAGATTTGGGTTTATTTTCCTCAATTTGACGACTTCGGTAATAAACAGAATATCATATTTGTGCCCATGTCATACTATGTTTACTACTCTCGTGCCTAAATATGGGTATATCCCTCGCTCGGGAAATACCAAAATTTAGGCACTCGTGTCGTAAACATAGAATGGTATGACATGGGCCCGAATATAATATCCTCTATATAGTTGTGATGACTTTTTTCAGCCAGGTTTTCATTAGGTTTTTGAATTAGAGAGTATTTACACAGCGCTCAGTCACATTTTCGGTTTTTGTGACTCACATCATGCTGATATTCTAGAAGAAGGTTTCCATTGGTTGGTGTACTAATCTGTGATGTGGGATAGAGGTCTTGCTAGTCATGGACCCACAACATATTTTTAATATATAATTTCCAAGTTCCCTTTCATTTACGTATCTGATTTATATTTCCCTGTATTAGTTTCCGTTCATCAGTGAATATTCAGATTGCTTAAATGTAAATTAATTTATTAAAACTTACATGGGCTGGGCAGTCTTTTAACATGGTGTGATAAGTGCATATCCACTGATGCTATATAATCTTAATTCAGGGTAGCTCACTTTTGATACAGTCAGTAATGAAGTCTTTTTCAATACAAAATATGCACATATATTTTGAATGGTCCAAAATAATTTACTTTGAAGACTGGTAATAGTGGTATCCATTCTTTCCAAACACTTATGAATGGTTCATGTTTTTTTATATCTACAGCGAAATCCCAATTTAACCTCATCCCCATCTTACCCCACCTCAACAACCTCATCGACACCCAAACATTAACAGTTAGATCTTTTTTCCCGATAAGATACCACTTTGTGTCAAGATCAGAGGTTACATTGGCAGAAGGTTGCATCAGGCAGACTATCTAATCAGCCAATCAGAGGCTTCTAAAGTTTTGGTACAAGTCAGTAAAGCATGCAGATCAACATAGCTGATTTCTGTATGTGGAAAGCAAGCTCCAGTGACCTTTCTCCAGTGAACATAATGAAGACTGCCATTATTTTGTTGTGGATATTTTATACACCCTGTTGAGTGACTGAGGTCAGTGGCATCTACACTTTCAAGGGAGTACGATCAAAGGATATGTGTGTCCTACTTGTATTTTCTTTTGTCATAGTGCATTGTCTGTAATATGTGCTGGGTGCTTTGAAATTTGCCAAGTCGAACAGAGGGGTTTGCTTATGTAAACCTTTCATGAGTGAGTGAATGAATTTGGTTTTATGCCGTTTTTAGCAATATTCCAGCAATATCACAGTGGGGGACACCAGAAATGGCCTTCACACATAGTACCCATGTGGGGAATTGACCCTGGGTCTTCGGTGTGATGAGCGAACGCTTTAACCACTAGGCTACCCCAACGACCCTGTGAGCTATGTTTGTTTAAAGATTTAGTTGTAATGAAAACTTAGGATGAAGCTTAATGTTTTTAATAATAGTTACTAGGCAAGTATAAAACCTTTCTGTGCTGCTTTTTTGCGTAAAAAGTGAATCTGTGATATGCACAAGAAAATAGTAAATACTGTCATATCAATTTTCATTCAAGTTGAGGGTTGATTATAAGGATGACTTACACTTACTAAATTGGTCAGTAGCGGTTATACAGGAACAGGATGCTTGATATGGCTACTGATTTATATTTCCATACAGAAGCATTGCTTTTGGAAAGCTTACGTCTCAATTTGGCTCAAGAACCTATACGTCATTCATAGTCTGTTCCAAATTTGTGTGATCCGGGGTAGAATAGGTCTTCAGCAACCCATACTTGCCACAAAAGGCGACTATGCTTGTCGTAAGAGGCGACTAACAGGATCGGGTGGTCAGGCTCGCTGACTTGGTTGACACATGTCATTCATCGGTTCCCAATTGCGCAGATCAATGCTCATGCTGTTGATCACTGGATTTTCTGGTCCAGACTCGATTATTTACAGACCGCTGCCATGTAGCTGGAATATTGCTGAGTTCGGCATAAAACTAAACTCACTCACTTACTCCAAATCTGTGTGCCTGATTTTGGCTCATAGCATTATTTGTTTTGTGGTATGATGTGCACTTCAATTAGCTAAGCTTACTAGACCAAACATAATGTTACTAGATTCAGGCTTCAGACTAGTGACTAAAGTTACAGATTACCTTCAGTTTCACAGGCAGGTGAAAGGTCATTCAGGGTTCACCTGACAGCCCATGAAGTGTCCTTCCTTGCTGGACTACAAGATCTGATTTTCATGAGATTGACCTAGGTAAATACCTATCATTTGTAGAGCATGTCAACAGTGACAGAAATACCTTTGGACTTCTGTGTAAATCATGTCCAGTTTATGACTTGTTACACGTCTGCTATATGTTTGTGTTGATAACAAAGCTGTATAACCGTCTGCCCAAGAGGCCAAGGGTCCTTCAAGCATCAACTCTTACATCAGTAACTTCTTTCTGCGATCTCATGTCACTGATCCAGGCTATAGTACCTGGGTGTTTACAACCAGTGTGTTTGTGTGTATATAATATGCATTAATCGGTTGAAGTCCAAATCATGATCCTTGGATGCAGTACATGTTGATGGTGGAGGTATTTTGATACAGCAGTATCCTCAAGAGCTTCCATTTAATCTAGTTGATTTTCTCATTTGGCACATTTTCTCTGTAAGTGCTCCAAAACATATAATATTTTGCATGCATTTTCAGAACAGAATAATTTTCAAATTAAGCATGAAAATCTAGTACTCTTTGGCATAACCCAAATATACAAAGCAAGCATCAAGATCCCCAGGAACTTTTAACGCTCATGTTGAATAGTCTTCACATGATCATCAGATGCTATAATGCCTTAGGTCTTTATGTTTTGTCCTGCTTTACAGATCCACTGACCTTAATGAAAAAATTCGGAAAATGATATGATCAGAAAGGCAAGATTTTTACTTGTAATCCTGACAGAAACGACCACTTTAACAAAAAACCCAAAACAAAGTCATTTTTACGTGACTAAAATAAATTTTGTCATTTTTATGAATACATGATATAACTCGTTTATATTTATAAGTAGGCTTATAGCTAGGTCTCTGTAGTACATAGCCATCAACACCGCAGGCCATGCCGTTGAGCTACAGACACATACAAATAAACCAGCTTGTTACAACAGTTTTCATGATGGATTCAATCTTCTATTATGTGCAATGAGATGAAAAGGTAAGTCCTAATGGCCTGAATGGCACCAGTTGACATATTGAAGCATGCTGGACTCCCTGCACTCAGATTTATGTCAGCAAATCTCCCACAGTTGTGTTGATCATAATGATGCAACAAAGCCCTACCATCTGTTTGCATTTCGCTCACTCGCCCACAGTTTTTCCATCCAGGCTCACCAATTATCCCCAATCAATTTCCATCCCGCTGTCAATAGTCTGTTGAGGGTTATAATGACGCATAACTATTCTCCTGCAGCCTCTGTTTATCCCTGTCGTTTTGGTATTTCCAAAGGCAGAGTTTGTTGTTCGGAAGCACGGTGTTGGAGTCTCCTCGGGGGACTTGTGAACCTTCGCTCCTCATCGCTCTTGGCACTTGCATGCATTGGCTGATAAAAGTCTTCATAGCTTCTGATAATCCTCCTCCAAATACATGCAATATTTTTTATGTTTCCAGATGAGTCTTTGAACTTGATGTCAGTGTATCCATTCTGACAATACACGATGAGGTTTCTTTAGGCTATTTTAGATCAGAGCCCTCTGATGTTGTTTGATAACTGGAAGGAAGTTTGAGTTTTGGTTGAAAAATACCTTGGTTTCCTAAACTTTGTCAAACTGAAGGACAAGATAATTAAGTCTGACCCGTTTTGAAAACTGATAAATCACTACCATATGCTGAACCACTTGCATGGATTTGTACCGTGTCCCAAGACGCAGGACTCCAGGAGGTAAATGAAAATTGATAAAAATACTTTGGATGTTGCTGGTAATTAGAAATGTGAAAAACTTCAATATTGATAACATTAGAGTTCAGACATCATTTGTAGCTGGGTTTCTTGCTGAAGTAGAATCCTACACATTGTGATGCCCTTGGCCAAAATTAAGAAAATGTTTCTCATTGTTGTGCTGGTCGCCTTAGAATAAAACTGGTGGGTCAATGCTTTTTACCCAGTTCTGAATTCAACCATTCCTAAGTTTATGCATTTAGATTTTTCGTCTTTAAGTAGAGTTATCTTTCCCTTACTGT